TAACTTATTATTAATAGGATAAATAATTCACTTAAAATTAGAATTACGATTTTTATGTATTGTTTGTGAATTTGTCTGTGTTTTGATTCAGAAACAAAGTATATGTGATTGTGATTTTTTGAATCATTGTGGATGAAGATGATATTGGCACTCTATTTATAGGAAAATATGGTTTTGAATTTTTTTTTTTTTTTTGATTTTTTACAGATTTAATGTTATGGTTGCATTTATTTAAGATTGCAGTTATTTAAGATTTCGTTTTGAAAACAGATTAATTTTAAAACCAAAATGAATATATTTAGTGATTGTTAATTTCGTTTTGAAAACAAATTAATTGGAATAACAATACATATAAATGAATTTATTATATACTTATATTATTTGATGGAGGCATGGAGCTGTGTTTATGGCTCGTTCGGTGTTAATAATATTACCATAATCTCAACAACTATTTTCTAAAGTGGATATACCGAATAGATCTAAGATTAAAACCATAATAGCATTGAAAACACAGATCTTCTGTTAGGATTTATTTATTTAAAATTAATAAATCAGATTAAACACTGAATTCAAACCTTAGTGCTAGTGTAAATAAATCCAAGAAGTATTCTAGTTTATATTAAACCTAATGGGTTTTTTTAAAACACATAAATAATTATTTTAATAATAATGAGTTCTACTTAAAATAAATTACTTTCAACATAGTATCCCTTATATATATATATATCTTCAAATACAAAAATATACTATATAGTGTTGTAGTTAATTTGAAAACGAAAATAACAGTAGTTTATTTGAATATTCATATGAAGTTGTACTATTATTTTCTTAATACACTAATAATCACTTATGACCAATATTAAATACAAAAATATGTTAAATAGTGTTTTATTTAATTTGGAAAACAAACGAAAATAAAAGTAGTTTATTTGAAATAATAATTATGTAAAGATTAATTGCTTACTTATTTGGTTTTTAATTTGTGTGATATATATAATGTATGAGACTAATGGCAAATTATGTAAATAGTCTAATAGAAGTTGGGTAATTATTTAAATAGGAGCCAAATCATTGTGAGAGCGACACATCAGCGTGACAATCTTGTTAATAACACATCATGGTAAGGTTTATTTTTTAGAGTGTTTCTCTATTAATATATAGGGGATAACATAAATACATAATAGACAATTAAAAAAAAAAAAATATAAGTTTCGCTCCCCAACAATTTGAAGAAGAAGGTTGACAAGAAGAATAATTCGTTTGTCATTATTTCTCTCAGTTCAATTTTTTTTTTCACTTTTAAAACTAATAAAAGAAAATTATAAATTATAAATACTCTAATTTGATTTTCTAATACTGATATATTTAAAATATTTACAGTAGACGGTGGGATTATATTACTAATATGATATAATGAGTTATGATATATCAAAATTTTATTTTAAAATATATAATATAAAAAAATTTGTATGTTATAGCATGGTCAAAATACATATAGTTTTATATGGTTTCAATTTATGTAAAACCAAAAATCTGTACAAACCGAATAGTAATCAATACGAATTACATACAGTTTCTATACGGTTTTATAGTTTTTATAAAATCAAAAAATCGAATTTAAACTAAACTAAAACCAAATAAAAAAAAAAAACGGACGCCAACCCCTACATAACAAATAAAGATTTTTATTATGTATAAAATGATTAAAATTATACTATAAAATAGATAATAATCCAACTTTAAATAAATATTTAAAAATTAAAATTTAATCCATGCTACACCGGCACGGGTTATGATGTAGTTATTATTATCTGAACTAGAAGAGCATACGAAAAAAAGACCAGTGTTTAAAACACTACATGAAATAAAGATCACGAAGTGAGGAAGAATTGGTCAAACGAGATGGGAGACCTCCTTTAGAGTTGAATCGATCATCTTGTTGGAGATTTTGATAGCATCATCGGGGAACCCATCCTTGACAAAAGCATCAATCAGTGTTTTAAAAATGTTAACATCAATGTAGCCTAAATCATCTTCAAGTGAATCGTAAAAGACTAACTGTGCTTCTGATAACATCCCGTTTTGGCAAAACCTTGTAATAAGGTGATTAGCACTAAACACAGCAAAGAAGAAAGACTGTGATCCGTGTCGGCAACACTTTGTAATATTGTATCTGTCACTGAGGAAGTGGTTCTTGGCACTAGCCTTGTTGTAGGTCTCCCAAGCCTCGCTAAATCGACCCATATCAAAACACTCGTCTATCATTATCTTAATGGTATCAGGGTCTGTTCTACCTTTATCTAAGAGTTCATGGTACAAAGCCCAAGCATGTTTTTTCTCACCGTATTTGAGCAGGACTTTCAAAAGGGCGTTGCCAGTTTCTGTGCAAACCGGTAACTTGTTTGCTATAACACAAAGGTTGTAACACTCCATAGCTTCCACCTCTTTACCTTGCTTAAACCAGTACTCCATGAACGTGGCCATCAGAAATGCGACTCTGTTTTCATAGTTTGAATCATCTTTGGTCTCGGATAGGGCAATAGAAAATAAGCGTTTGAATTCGGCCAAGACTAGATCCGCCTTGTCTAAATCCCCAAGATCCAAAAACCCACGAATCAGATTCTTGTACGCCACGTGATCTGGGTAGGTGGTCCTACCGACTGTCCTGTCTCTAAGCAAGGCTTCCGCTTGGTCCATTCGACCGGCGTGGACTAACCATTTAGTCAAGACCCTAAAAGTATCCTGGCTTGGGTAGTCGTGGACCATACCAGATTCGATGGATCGGTTGTGGAAACCGAGAGCTTCGTCAACTAAACCTTGTTTGAAACGAGATTCGATGATGTAGTTACAGCAATGGCTGTTGGGTCTGAGCTTAAAGTGATTGAAGAAGAAATCGTAGAGATCGTAAGCGTCATCGTGCCTTTTATTCTGCAACATGCCTCCGATGATGGCTTGACATGTTGCTGCTGTGGCCTCCGATTTGATGCTGGTGAAAACAGCCAAACGAGCGTACTTCGCCGCCGTGTCGAGATCACCAACGAATCTGATCAAGTACGTGACTCTCAAGCATAGCTGCGCGGGACGGCAATCTGGGTTTGACATTATCTCCTTCGGTCTGCTTGGCATGGCGGCGAAGAAACGCCGACCAAGAAGATTGAGGCGGCAGATCTGAGACATTATTACTGTTTAGGTGAAACGAGGACTAGTTTTTCTCTCCCAGAACTTCTGGTTACAAGGCCTAAAAGCCCACACTGATTTTGCATAAATAAGAAAGTGAAGCCCAACAAGAGCCCACCACAAAATTACATCAAAAGCCAAAAAAAATTATCATTTCGATTTTATCAAATTCACGTATCATTTTGAGACTAGATGAGTACATGCACTACATGAAGACTTTTGTTTAATATTTCGTAATTTATAAGTATTTAAATATAAAATTTAGGTTAATTTTCGTTAATAGGTAAGAAGACAAAACTCCTATTTTGATACTAAACTCTATAAATTTACATTTTTTTTTTGCATTTTACATATAGATTCTTAAGAGAAAACTGTTCTCAATAAACATTATTTTCAGAATATTTTTTATTTTTATTAACCTTAAACCAAAAAAAAAAAAGATAAAATGCAAAGAAGATTGGAGTATCCGTTTTGAAATCCATGATCATAGTATTTAGGTACGGAAATTAAGCATTGATAATCGGGTTGTCGTTTCGTTTGAACAACGATTTATCAAGTTACAGTAAATAGACAAATAGAACCTTAAATCTTAAACTAAAAAAACAAAAAAAAAAAACAAAAAAAAATATATATTTGATGTATCCGCTATGAAATCCATGATCATAGTATTTAGGTACAAAAATTAAGCATTGATAATTGGGCTATCATTTCGTTTGAACAACGATGTTATCAAGTTACAGTAAATAGACAAATAGGACCAAACTTTGATAAGCTTTATTGATTTGTTGAAACAGAAATGTAAAATAATTCTTCTTTTTTTAAAAAAAAAAATTTCATTGTTGCCACTTTTGCAAAGACAGCCAAAACAAAAGAACTCCATCACCAAAAAAAACTCTATCACTAATGATTTGAGTCCAAGAATTTGATGATAGAGGTTTCCAAGTATTTCTCACTATATTTGATGTATTATATAGAAAAAAGAACAATCTACTAAAACTATTAGCTAATCCACTATACTATTATATAATTATATTTTGAGTTAAAATTATAAAAATTAGCGAAAAATATCTGAAAGTATGAGAAAATTAATTAAATAATTTTATTGAAGAAAAAGACATACAATAATAAAATTAAATTATTATTGATACAATTAAATATGTAAAATTATCTTTACTAAAGAAATTATCTTTAACCACTGTATACGAGACTTTCACGTCAGACCGACGGAAGGAAACAAATAAATATAGCAAACATTTTTTTTTTTTTTATATTTTATGTAATTATTTATTTATTAATTCCTTGAGAATGATAGAAATCTATACTACACTAAAAGAGGAGGAACATTCAATCAATAAATACACTAGCCAAGTTGCCATTATATTAAAGAGAAGGATTTTATTATATATCCTCTAATAAATGTCAATGAAATAAATTTAATAAAAGCTCAAACATGCCAAATCAGTATGAATTGTATTTTTATAGATATATTCAAATCAAAATTTGGGAAAAAAATATTTTCAGCTATTACACATTCTGCAATAACAAAACCACACAAACAGTATCATGTTTTTCCATATAATAACCAAAATATATAATTTGGTTCAACGGACTAGAAATTTTAATCTCCACCATCAAATCTAAAAATAAGCGCAAAATCTGCAAGAAAATTTTCAAAAAAATGGTACATGTATGTGTCTCCCAAATGAATGAATCTATCCGAATTAATAAAGGAAAAAAATACAGAATTTTATGCAATTAGATTTTCTGTATATTTATTTCGTGACGGAATAAAACTATAAATTATTACAAATCGTCACACGAGAAAAAAGCTTCGTCTCCTTTACTCTTTTCTTTTTCAAATTCAATTTTTTTTTTGTCTTCATGCAAGTGATAAAGACTAAAGAGTAATCGATCCTTAATCCAAATTCTCGCTCTCGATTCGTCTTTTCTGTATTTCCCGGAGCTCCGGGACTTGGGCGGAGGAGGAGATGAGGAGCGTGTTGGTGTGGATTGCGGTGGTCGTGTGCTTGCTATGTTCAGTCGCGGCGGTGGTTCAAAGCGGATCTAGCGATGGATTTGGGAAACCCAGAGATACTGAGACTGAGTATAAATTGATGGCGCATTCGGTTCCAATGGTACCTCTCACCTTGATTCAGGGAGCTGACTCTAAAGGAGCTGGTACACACACACTCTCTCTCTCTCTCCTTCTCTTTCGTTCTTCTTCTTTGGGCTTGAAAGGAGATGTTTCCACTATCACATTGGCCTTTGTTATCCTCTATTCGGTTTAGATTTTGGCTCTCTTAGTTGGAATCTGAAATTTTGGCCTTCACTGGAATATTGAGCAATACACCTGAAGAGAATCCTGGTTTGTCGCTATGAGTTTTGTTCAAGTGGTTATGGAGAAACTGTAGAAAACGCATGTTCTTGTATCGATCCTTTTTTCTCTTTGTGGATTGCAGACTTCTTTAATTGGAACAGGATCAAGTTGCGTTACTGCGATGGTGCATCTTTCTCTGGTGATAGTCATGACGAGGTTTGTCAAACTCAAGAGTATATTAATTGTTCTATGAAACCTAGGATTTTAATAAATTCTTCTTAGTGTACCCTAAATATGTGTTATAATTTGTTACAATGGCTTTTACGTAGAGTTCGCAACTTTTCTATCGAGGACAACGAATTTGGCAAGTGGCTATGGAAGAATTCCTGTCTTTAGGCATGAAGCAAGCAAACCAGGTCTTTGCATTTCATTGAGTCTATTAGGTTATTGGATTTTGTGCTCTTCGTCATGTTTCGTTAATCATCTTATCTAATCATTTGCAAGTGAATATTTATCACAGGCTCTGCTTTCTGGATGTTCAGCTGGAGGATTAGCTTCCATCTTGCACTGTGATGAGTTCAGGGAACTATTACCTAGTTCCACGAAAGTAAAATGCTTAAGTGATGCTGGAATGTTTCTGGATTCGTAAATCTCTTGAACTTGGCTTTTTTGTTGGAAATAGTATTTTTTCTCCTTACAAAAGTATCCAAACCTGAAATGTCTAATGGAAATTGCAGAGTGGATGTCTCTGGGGGCCACTCGCTTAGGAATATGTTCCAAGGTGTTGTTACAGTGCAGGTAATCTCAGATTCAAAATTTGATGAATTGGGCATGAATAAAGTGCATACAACTTAACTTTATCTTAAGCTTACTGTAACTCTTAAATGCATTTCCCTGTTTATTTATAGAACCTCCAAAAGGACTTGTCCAGTTCTTGTACAAACCATTTGGATCCTACTTCGGTATATCTCTTTCACTTTATTAGTATCATTGTTTCATTAGCAAAGTTTCCAGTAGACAAGGCTTGAGAGAATCTTATGACATTATCCTTTGTGTCCTTTCTCTTTTCCTCAGTGCTTCTTTCCACAGAACTTGGTTTCAGACATTAAAACCCCAATGTTTCTTCTCAACACAGCATATGACTCTTGGCAGGTAATAATCATGTCTTCCATATAGCTCATTGCTTCATCCTTCCACAGTGTTTGATTCTTGAGAAAACATATGTATGAACTTTTTCTGTCAGATCCAAGAGAGCTTAGCTCCTCCAACTGCTGATCCAGGTGGCATCTGGAAGGCATGCAAATCAGATCACTCGCGATGTAATTCATCGTAGATCCAATTTATCCAAGGTGAACTTTAAATTCAAGCTTTTTAGCTATCGTCACTCTCTCTACTTTAAGTTGAGTCTGCACAATGTTGATGGTTTCCATGTCATTTTTCTTTGCTTACACCAAATAGAATTCAGGACCCAAATGGTGCTTGCTGTAAACTCATTTTCAAACTCTGACCAGAACGGTCTTTATATAAACTCTTGCTTCGCCCATTGTCAGACTGAAAGACAGGACACTTGGTTTGCTCAAGATTCTGTGGAAACTGTGAAGCTGTGAAGGAGTTCCAGATTGGGACGATGAGGTGGTGGCGACGGCTAGATTCAAGGCGTTTAGTGGGCAGAGATCCGATTGGGAACTTAAATTTCAGTTTTGGCGTGATTTGATCCTCAAGGTTTCGCGTCAGTTTGGGTTGTTCATCATTGATCCTGTTCAGGTCTGATCAATTGCTTTTGATTCTAGATGAAATTAGTACAAATAAGTGATTATGTATTGTTGTGTTGTTCTTCGTGTTTCTAAAGGTGAAGAAGGCGTGGTTTAATCGAGGAGGAATAACGCCTTTATGCATTGATCATGTTCTGGTGAGTTTCTCTGCATTTAGTGGCCAAAGAGTTTTTGTCTCTTAATATTGTTTTCTTACTTTTTTTGTCAGTTATTGATGCATAGTGAAGGTGATGTTGTGCGGATTAGCGATCTTGATGATCCGGGTATTGGCCGTATTTCTCGTTTATTGAGGACAGTGAGGAACTTGATGGTTCAACAGTCAGTGAAGCAGGAAGAGATTCTGGAAACTAAACTTGTTATTGTACCACTCTTGAAGGTGCTTCTGTTTGTTCTCACTTTTAACCATCTATTTCTTGTTTTGAAGTTTAAAAGTTTGGTCTGGAATAACGATATGTAGGTTTGGTAAGGGTCTAGGGTTTTGATTAGATTACATGGATTATAATGTGTGGATTTGTCTTGTAATATTGAAAAAAACTGGGTATCTTGAGCTAACTATATTAGTCTTCAAGCTATCTTTTATTATTGGTTAGTTTCCTTTGTGTAGCTCTTTTGCTAATAGGTGAAGAATTCTCAGTTTATTGTATAAGTATGTGGCTGAATGCTGATAGAAATAAGTCTATGTGATTTCTAGGAGAAGGCGGGTGATGTGGTTAATATTTTATCTGAGGGACACTGGACTTCTACTTGTGTTGTCACGCTGAAGAAGTTTCAGAATTTGTGCAACGGCTCGAATGAGGCATCTGCTGTTTTGAGTCACTTGTCAGGGTGTGGAAAAGCGCATAAAATCTCTATCAATCAGGGAGAACTGATCGAGGTTGGTTATTTATTCATATTTTTTGGTCTTATACAGCTGTCTAATGGAGAAATTTGTTAGTCTGTTAGTATATCTGGTCAACAAGGCATGTAAAAAAGCACTCAAAATTCCAGTGACAAATTTAGAAAGTTAGACTCGTTCAGGCTAAGACTTATGCATAGTGTCCAAATAAAACATACTTGTGGTTTGCAGGGCGTTAAAGTATCCTTTTCACAAGCAGCACTTCCTAGCATCTCAACTTTAGATTGTGATATTCTGCACTTGCTAAGGACTACAGAAAAGCTCCACGATCAACTTGAAGTGATGGACCAACGTTGTGAAAAGTAACACCTTCTGATTCTTGATCTGTATCGAAATGATCTAATTTTCTTATACATTGATCATAGCCTTGGAAAACATAATTTGGCTTTACTTTTTCGTAATTGGTTAAATAGATTGACTTCAAGTGTTTTTAACTTTTCTTTTCCCTTTTGCAGGTCAAAGAAATCAGCGCTGGCATCTCTAAAGTCTGGACACAGGAAAGTTGCTCTAAGGCATGCAAGGGAATTGAAGTTGGCGACTGAGAGCAGAGAAAAATGCACGTCACTTCTGAACAGAGTAGAAGAAGTGTTGAACACTATAGCGGATTCTGAATCTACGAAAATGGTACTGCATACACTGAGAAACCCCATAGGTTGAACGTATCATGTTTGGGTCTATGTAATAGTATCAATTATGGATTTTATAAATATCTATGTGTTGTTGACAGGTCTCAGAAGCAATCAAAACTGGAGCTAGGGTCATGAAGGACATCAAGATCAGTGCAGATGATGTTCATGACTATTTAGAAGAACTTGAGGAAACTATTGAATCACAGAAGCAAGTCGAAAAAGCTCTCGGTGAGTGGTGTTTTGTCGTTTAAACATACATACACGATTTCTTCATCAAATTTTATGTTTACCTAGATTTTTTCTGTTAATGCGGCAGAATCCGCTCCATATCCAGATACTGATGATGAAAATTTCGAAGAAGAATTACTGGAATTAGAGATGGACCTTGAAAGTGAAAGTTCTCAGGTCCTACCAGCGACTTTAGATACTGCAGATTCACTGACTGAGATGTTCTCAGAGCTTAAACTTGGCAAGACGAAACAAACATTGGAAGAGCAAGCTACTGAGCCAGCTCGGATGAAAGATAGCGGAAAAAAGATTCTTGAAGCAGCATAGCTGAACAATGCATCTTCATTGTGGTGCGATCTCTTCTCTTCTTGTTGTACTTAAGAGAAGAAATACACTCGGTATCATATAGATAGAATAGAACCGGGTAAAGTGAGTTGAGTATTTGTATGCTATGCCTCTTGTTCGGATTCTAGAAACAATAGCTTCACTCCATTGTATAAAGTCGAATGATGATTTTGATCACTCCGATAGTGGTTGATAATTTATTAATGTTTCTAACATGAAGTCTTTGTCATCCGAAGGAAATTAGTACACTCGATTATTATTGTTATTATTATAGCTCCTTTCCTATATCTATATGTTACATGAACTAGAAAAGCCGGTACTAATAAAGAGAACCTTGAGGAGATACTTCCATCGTAGTTGTTCTATTGTTGTAGTGCTTTTGTGGATCTGTATGGTCCACCTTGAGATGGCTCTAGCCTCTAGTGTTCTCTACTTACTTGAGAAGAAAAAGACCGTGAATCAGCAGGTAACAATCATCACTGTTTATTTCATCTGCTCACGGGTTTCCAGATTTTTACCAGGGAGAATTCCTTCATCTGTTAATGTTCCTTGATTTCTTGTGTAAGGTGATGCACCATCTAAATTTGACAAAGAGGTGGAGTTTGGTATATGGTTAGGGAAAGCAGCGCACGATGGAGGGACAGATTGTGGGGAACAATCTTCCGTTGGAGTGAAAGGTGCAGATTTTTGCATTTGTATTAGTCCAGGATGGTTAAGAAACCTTAGCATATCTGCTGAATCATTAATCCCAGGCAAGCCAGCTCCTAGGACATGTGCAGGCAGAAACTGTTGTGCGCCCATTTGCATTCCCATGAAAGGCAACATCATTGATGGTGTAACAAATGTGTTACCCATCGTCATCATCTACCATCCAAAATTTTGTACAGGTTAGAACAAAGAATTTTTAGACTGAATCTGTTTTTGATACGAAAAAGTGTTGGAAGTATTTGTTTATTATACCTGAACTTGAAGTTGAAGGTTTTTCATATAATTGATTGCTTCATCCAACACTGATTCGTTGTCATCCTATGAACAGTTGAGTATTTAGGGTAATGTAAGTAATGGTAGTATCTCCAGGAAGCTTATGATCTCATTTGAAATAAATTAAAAGTTGGTTCTTTTAGCAAACCTTGTGAGAATTAGGTAGTAGATCCTGCAAAGTACGCATTTTCTTGTTGATGTCTCTTCTTTGTTTCTGTTTGGCAATATATTACCATATACCGATATATTAGATTCAGTTTCTACTCCTTTACTTTGTAGCTTAATGAGATTACTTACTCTTTCAGGTGAATTATAAGCTTCTGCATTTTTTGACCAAAGCTTTTCTTGTTCTTGCAGGAACTTGTGGCCTCGCATCATCTGACTCGTCATCTAGACTCTGCGTTGAGACAAAAACTGTCTTCAGACCAAAGAACCTCATAGATAAACCAAACTAATAAAATCTGTGAATCAATCCTCTTACGCTGCTTAGATACATCGATCCTTCACTGTCTTCAGTAAAACCTGCGGAGGAAGTGTTAAAGCCCGATTCGACCATCCTTTCAGCAACCACAGATTGCTCATCAGGAGGTATAAACTTGATCTTCATTCGGTTATCATAATCAATCATCATCCTCTTTGATGAAGAAGCTTTCAAAGTCTCAATCAAAGTTGAACCGTCAACATGTCTATTGCTTTCCAACATGTCTGTTTCATGAGGAGGAACAACATGACTTTGTGGAACAACCTGCGTGTCTCCGAGATTCTTGTTGGCACCACCACCACCACCATGGATGATACTCTTCATGAAGTCCTCGTTATACTCGGCCTCATACAAATCCATGATCGATTTGGTACGTTGATTCTGCAGAGGAACGTTGGTCGTTTAACCTGCAACAATAATCGGTTGGTAAGAAGTAAGTACATCATCATCTCTATAGATACATATGTATATGTGTGTGTGAATCAAGAATCAAGAACTTAATTTGGTCTGAAGGTGGATGATGGGGAAGTCATATTTTGTTGTCTTATTGAATGATCCAAAAGGCTTTTCTTTCTTCAATGAAAGTAAGTGAAAGCTGATATTTCTTTTGTTGATCAACTTCAGACTCTTTTTTTTTTTTTTTTTTTGAATCTAATGTTAAATTATATTCAAAAGAAAAACCAACGTGTATACAAATTAATGCAAACTGTTTTTAAAGACAATTAAAAGAAATTATCCTTCATTGTGCCTTTGATGCAAACCAAACTTGTATGCCACCTGCATACTTGAGTTCTCCTCCACTTCGAATTGTGCTTAATCGATTCCGAATGTTCTTGTCGATCAACTTCAGACTCTTATATTTCGCTTTTGTTTCTTTTCCCTTTTTTAGTATTATCACTTTTTCAACTCTTTCTCAGGTGCAATGAATTTCTGAGTACAGTACCACTGTTCATACTTCTGTTTCGAACTAAGTCGAATCTTAGCATCTTTGGTGTTTTATTTTCTTGAAAACCATACTTTATATTTATAAATTATAAAAGATTTATTTCAATGCAATGGATGTCGGTTCCAAAAACAAAATCACATAATAAAATACAAATAGAAAGGAGTTAAAAAAAAAAAAAAAATTATACAGACATCAGTCAGAATATCAGATTGCCACAACATAGACAAATATCTCTTGTAAACATCACAAACCGATAAAACATATATAATTTCAACACAAATAATATAGAACGACAAAAAAAAAAGTGTTGAGGAGGAGACAGAGAGAGAGAACGGGCCAAAAAGCCCACGTGGTTGTGGGAAGAACATTCACAGTACAAGGGCAATGAGAAATGGGCCGGGTCCACCAAAAAATATTGAAAGGACCCACAAGGTGTTTTGGCAGCATTCTCTTCAAAGGAAAAAGTAGAACAAGTAATAAAAGAGGTAAACAAAAGAGAGCGTGAAGTTCACGTGAAAGCCACGTGGGAAAATCAAATGTCATTTGGAAGGGAAATGACGTCATATAGAATCTTAATTAAAGGGAAACATAATTGTCACTCACCCACACGTATCATTATCATGTTTTAAGATTCGGTAATAATTATTATTAAAGAGAAATTAAAACCAAATCAATCACGGGTTAGCGCGTAATCTAAAACCCAAATAATAATTTAAATAAAATATAGTATCAATAGTTCTATTAAAAGGCACGAACGTAAAGCCTCAATAGTAGCAACACGCACGTATCTTGCTTTAGCGTATCGAGTTTCATGCATTCATATTCATTAATGTATTAAGCTTCAACAAACCTTTTTTTTTTTTTTTTACTTACTTATATTAAATACATGAAAAGAACATCACTAATACCTCCACACTAGATTGTTCTCCTAGACTACTTTAGACTTTAGAGACCATATCTAAAGCTTCCTCTATTTTGTAAACTTTGGATTTGATTCAAGAAAACATGTTTTCACACCGTTTTAAGTGGATATCAATACTAAACCCTTTCTTTTAATTTGCAGCGAGTCATTGTAAACACTTTTCATCGAAATTTAATCCAATAAGAGTATTGTTTCTAAAATTTAATTACACATTATTCTGGACCTTCAAAGTTTATGGACGACCTCAGCATTATAATTTTTTGCATAATTGACTTAAATCAAAGTACATAAAACTAACAAATACCAACTATATATCGAAATTAGTGATACTAATTTTGATGAGAAAGAAAAAAAAGTGAGGAAATTGTGATGATAATGGTAGGGGTGGTGGGGAACATATCTCTTCTTTATCAGTTTCCCTTTTTAATTTTTTTTTACTCTCTCTCTCAAAAATCATGTTTAGAGACTTAGCTAGAGTTTCTTTTGGTTCAAGCTTAATCTTTTTTTTTTCCTTCTTTCTAAAATCTAAAATCTATTTGCTTCTTCAAACCAAACGGTATCTACGCAATAAATGTCGGTTATTCTGATAACGACAATGTTTGAATGTTTCGGGTTCAAAAGATTTGTATTAACTACATGTGTATATGTTTAATTTTGGCTTATTGATAAGGACACTTCATAAAAGAGTCAGAATCATGTCAAATTATTTATATATATAATATGAAAAACACTTTCAGACTTTAAGAGTATTTGTAATCTGTTAAATTTAAGTTCTAAAAACTTAATTAAAAACAAGCAGAAATAACACTCTTTATGAAACACATGGAGTATATGATATGAAAAATACTATACGACTTAAATTAGAGTCATAGTGTTTGTAATCCGTTAGATTTTGATTCTAAAAATCCCTATATTAAAATAAGAAACAGTACATAACTAAAAGATGGATCTGAATATGGAGATATTGTTTGATTGTAAAAATAACTTTGGACAAAATCTTCCTATTATAAAAGAGAGAACAAAGAGTTCTAATCATATTGATTGGTAGGTCATGAAGAAGCTTAACGAGTGATTGTAAAAGAGTAGAAGTGGAGGCGACAAAGTGAGGAGACACGTGGAAAAAGGCACGTGACGTGGGGAATGTGAAATGTTGACGATAGTGTTTACTGTCTCGTGCTTGCAAAACTAATGTATGTTTTGGAGTGTGAGAACTGTGACGTATCCTCAGTCCTTAGTCCATAGGCGAAGCATCTCTCATTAGCTCCTCTCTTTAAGGTTACGCAATCATTACTCATGCCTCCCTTCTCTCATTTTCTTTCTTATTTCTCTATATATTCCCCTCTATTTGTTTATTTGCTTCTAATTTATTACATGTAACGTACAAAACCAAGAAACATGCACTTTTTCTGGTGACCGAAGTTTAATAAATCAACCGAATTGACTGTACCATATACATGTTTATATCTAAATCCAATGAATATACACAAATAGAATTAATCTTGGTGCATCGAAGCATTTATTAAAGTCACTATTTTGAATACTAGCGACGGATAAGACACCGATATGATGTGTTTTGGTCTCTGGCGTGAAAAGATACACAATTTCTGATCACGATTTGTGGGAGATTAGCATCACTTGATTCATAAAAGGTTGGTAAGTTGGTTTAATATTGGAAAAATATTGTAGTGGTTGGACTTGACTATAGAGATGCTTAATTATGATAAGATAAAGTAACAATCAAATAAATAGAGGAGTGTAACTAATAGCGACGTGGATTAGAATCATGGGAAGCTCAAACTCTTGTCATGCTTGGATACGATGGAGTCCACGTAGACTATTTTTATTTTTTCTGTCATAATTAAATAACATTATTAGAGAGTTAATGACGTACATGAGACGTGTTTAGCAGTTGATAATTAATTTAACAGACATTTAGACATATTTTAATGCTAAACAAAAAACATACTCCCTCCGTTTCAGTTTAGTTGTCGTTTTAGGATTAAAATTTTATTTCATAATAGTTGTCGTTTTAGGTTTTCAATGCAAATGTTTGGTGAAAATTAATGTTTTGTCATTAATGTTTTAGTGTTTTGACCAATGAAAAAAATATAAAATATATTAATAAAGGGTAAAACAAAAAATTTTATGATTTTCTTAATTTGTGTGCAAAAACCTTAAACGACAACTAAAACGAAACGGAGGGAGTAATATTTTCTTAAAGTGTCTCGCGGTTATAAAAAACCCTTAATTATGGAAGTGTTGTTTGTCGAACCCACGAATGCATCAATGCGCGTCACGATAATCTCATGCACTGAACTTGAATTTATTAGGACGGATAATGAAGTAAACTATAGGTTTTTAAAATTTAAGAAAATATATTCTTATCCGGTTTAGAACTATCTTGTCTACGTTCATATAATTCCTTAAATCTAAGCCTAACATTTGATTTTCTTAATTCGATATGATATATATACGAAGCTAGATTAATCATTTATAATCTCTTTAGCAAATAATTCATTTAATTAGATAACTAAAGTAGTACTACATAAAATCCAACCCTAATAATTTTTACAGGATCAAACAGTCTTTTTGTTTTTGTTTTTGTTAAACGAAGAGTAAGTACTAGGAGTCGAGTATTTACATTGAAACAAACAAAATTAAATTAGAACACACCCAGCAAAAAAATCCGAGCACAAAGTCAAAACAAACACTTTGACCAAGTGTCTGCGTGACACGTGTATTTGTCTGCTACATGGACAACATCTTTAACAACACTGTCTCATCATTCCACCATCTGCATTTTATTTAATTAAAATATTAGAAACACCATTTCACTATTACTTCTTCCTTTTAAGTTCTAACAACCTAGGAAGCACGGAATCGGCATCCAACCTCCACTTCCCGCTTCGGAACCGGAACCGGGTACGGAAACGTCAGGAAGCGCTCGGAAACGTGACGGAAGCGCGGTTCCAAAAAATCACATATTGGAAGCGTCTGGGAATCGGTCGATTCACATTGGAAGCGTCTGGGAATCGGTTCGGTTCGGTTCGGTTCTCGGGTTTTCGGGTTTTGAAAAAGGCTGCCGATTTGAACCGAATTCTAGTGTGGATCTCGGCTTGCACCTTCGAAAACCATACACGGATCTGTGTTTTTTGATTTTGAAACCTTCAGCTGGCGTGTTGCTCTCGAGAAGTTAATGTTTAAGCATCTAGGGTTCAAAGGAAGAAGACAATCACGTGACTTTCACGTTCATTTTTTTCAAATGGGCCAGAAACCAAACCCAATAACATGTTTATTAATGGAAATGGGCTGAAATTATATGGGTCTGTTGACCCATTAAAATTTTTAAAACTCAAATATATGGGTCTGTGGGCCTTACATTTTCCATTCTTTTGGGCTTTTAACATTGATATCTGATATCCCTAATATATATTCTCAGCAGCCCAATTTTGTTTATTTTTTCGTAAGCTTAAGTTTTTTTTTTGTTACGCAAGCAAGCTTATATATTTATGATATATATATATATATATATATATATATATATATTAACGCTTCCAATACGTACCCGCTTCCTATATTTTTCACAAAAATCGCTTCTGCGATTCCAAACGCTTCCGCTTCCGCGTACCCGCTTCCGATTCCATGCAGCTTAGTATTATATTAAATAAAAAAAATTCTTCCTCTATATATATACACACACTTCAAATCATTAATCACCTGTTTTAGATAAAATCATAGAGAGAGAGAGAGAGAAATAGTAAAAAAAAAAAAATAATGGGAAGAGGGAGAAGCTCATCGACTCATCGTCTTCATCGATAGAGAGCAGCTGCAAAAGCAACCCATTCGGTGTGTCTTCGAGTAATACTCGGAACCTAAGCACAGACCTAAGGCTCGGGCTCAGTATAAAATTATGACCCAGGTAAAAATAATTTCTGGGTCCGCCACTGCTTCGGATCATCGTCCGGACAATACTACAACGGTGGAGAAAACCATGAATATGATGGAGTGGGTGCGGCAGAGAAAATGATGATCATGGAAGAAGAAGATCAAAACGAGTGTAATAGTGTCGGAAGCTTCTACGTGAAAGTGAACATGGAAGGAGTTCCTATTGGAAGAAAGATCGATCTTTTATCTCTTAATGGATACCATGATTTGATCACAACTCTTGACTACATGTTCAATGCCTCAATCCTTTGTAATTAGACTTAATTACATCTTTGCATGTAGACTTAATACATCTCTTTGCATGTATATAGACCAAAACCTATTATATTATGTATCGTTAAGACCAAAACTAATGGCAATTAAAAATTGTGAAAATAGGGCTGAAGAAGAAGAGATGTGTAGTGAGAAGAGTCACGTGCTAACGTACGCAGACAAAGAAGGTGACTGGATGATGGTTGGAGATGTTCCTTGGGAGTAAGTACTTTTTTAATTTTAGTTTATTAAAAATCTCTAATCAATTACTATATTGATAAATGACATAGTTATGTGGAAAATCTAATTAAGGGGACTTAATTGATTATGTAGGATGTTCTTGTCTAGCGTGAGAAGACTAAGGGCATGTGCAGTGGTGGGTTCTCAAAAGAGTTCTCAACAATATAAAAAATAAAAATAATAAAAAGTAGGAGAGAGGGATGAAAATCAATTCTCAAATGAGAACTCTTGAGAACCCCTTGAGAGACTATTATAACACATGTCATAATATTATTGGTTATGAATTCTTTTCTATCTTTTAAAATTTAAATAAAAAATAAACTAAATTAAATGTATTAAAATAATATATATGAGAGACTCTCAGAGTCTCTCCCCATTACACATGCTCTAAAGATCTCAAGAGCTTATCACCACTGATTTTCAAAAAAGCAAAGGTGGAAGACTCTAGGATTGACCAATACAGTCAGTGGTGGAAAAAAAAAAGTTAGTTTTGTCTGAATGTAAATCACTTGTTCGAGATTTTTATTCAAATTTTGTTTCTAGTTTTATTACATTATAAGAAAATCGGTTGTAACTTGTAAATTGTAATGAGGCAATTTTTTCAAAAAAAGTTTTAGCTAATGCAGGTCCTTTTACGTTCAATTTTTGGTTAATTAGTTATTAATATAGTTTATATTCTAATATGAATTGTTTTGGTACAATACTGAAATAGGTTTATATTTGTATTTTAATTACACAAAACTTTAATTTACTCAAATTTTAAGTTTCAATTGAGTTTTCTATTTTCTTTCGTTTGAATTAATTCTCAGAGTATCAACTAAACAAAACTAGTTTACCCAAATCAAAGATATACACTTAAGAGTTTTGGTCTAGTTATGGACTTTGAGATTGAAAAATAATTGTCAAAAAATTTCAAAAGACTGTCGTCGGAGATATTACACTTGTTCCGCTCACCAAAGCATTAAAAAGCCCATACAAGAAAATGGAAAAACAAAACGAAGGAAAAAGAAACTCTTAAGCCACTCTGATTATTGCCCTCACTGCACACAAATTTACAAGAAAACAACAAAAAATGAAAGAAAGCATTACTTTTAAAAAACGAAACCTCTAAGAGAAAATTTGTAAGGAGAAATCGAAGAGGTTTCTTCAGAATCAAGCAAACGTTGTTTCCCCTTCCATGTTCAAAACTTCACAGTAACTTTACCAAGAAAGTAACCATGGTGATCTACTTAAACCACTTGATATCTCCAGATTATTTTCCGATAACCCGAAACAATCAGATCGATGTTCCGGGAATATACTCTCTTTCAAAGAATCACAAGTAATTCCTGGCGAAACCCACTGTGAATAACCTCTAACATTTGAGCATTCCCATGGAGATTTCTTCGAATTCTTCTTCACTCTAAGAGTAACGTTAAGGAAACATATATTCTTAAACTCATCTCCTTCTATACCTTCAAGTAGACCCGCAACACCGATTCCATCACCATTTACATTCTCAAAGGTGATTTTCTCGATAGCTGGGAGTGCTTTGGGATCAAAATTTTTATCAGGATGTTCACCGTACTTACCCGTGAATCTAATCGCTTTCTTTACATTATCGAGCTTCACGTTCAAGATGTGAACGTTTCTAACATACCCGCCTCTTCCCGGAGAAGTCTTGATTCTGATTCCGGTATTCGAATTGAATAAATGTAAGTCTTTAATATATATTTCGGACACACCTCCTGACATTTCACTTCCGATTGCTATTCCTGAGCTTGAAGTAGTTTGACCTGTTAACCGATTGATCTTGATCTTGGAGCTCGGTCTTGCGTAGGATATTCCGTACTCATCCCATCCGGTTTTTATCGACACCAAATCATCTCTGGTAACTATGTAACAATCCTCTATGCAAACATTAGTTGATGAGTCTGCAAATAGAACAATTCTAATAAGGGAAATATCTGAAAATGACAATCCTCTATAGCACTTGTTTACACACTGATTTGCATCAATTCTCGTAGGGAAATTTGATCATAGATTTGATAAAAGTAGCCAGAAATCTCGACTCAACGAGTAAATTTTGCAAGGAAACTCACCTGGATCAACTCCATCTGTATTTGGAGATTCAAGAGGAGCCAAAATTGTGAGATTCTTCACAACAACATCTCTGTTCAGACAAAAACTCCATATCAGAACATTGAAGAGAAATATTTGGCGAAATCAAAATCGATATATGATCAGTTAGATGACCTGCAATAAACAGGATGAATGTTCCAAAACGGTGAATTCAAGAATGTGAGGTTGGAGATGATCAGACCAGTAGAGTTCATGAGCTCAACAAGATGAGGTCTTGTATAGTTTAGCTCTCCATTTCTAAACCAATCCCACCATACACTTCCTTGACCATCAATTGTCCCGTTCTCGCCTAAAATTTTGGTATCATCAGACAGCATATCTAAGACTAGCATCATCATTTCAAAACTAATCATTTCATATAAATGCTATACTAGTACCTGTTATGACTACATCTGTGAGATTCTGACCATAGATAAGACTTCTGTGTCTTCTACCGGGCAATTCTCTTCCTCGTCCATATGATGGTAATGGATCAACCACGGGCCAATTCTCTGAGCTCTGAGTATTAACAAGTTGTATAAGTGATCACAGTTCATATAGCAAAGTGTATGCTTGTAAAGATTCAAAAAGGCAGAGACTTGCCGTTGACCCGAGAATCGTTGCACCACTATCTAGCCATAAGGTGAGGTGACTGATAAGGTCGAAACTCCCGGTAAGCCACTGACCAGCGGGAACAAAAAGCTTGGCACCGCCTTTATCAGAGAAAGAATTGGGGTAGAACAAAGCATTCTGAAAGGCTTTAGTGTTTAGAGTAACACCATCTCCAACCGCTCCAAACTCTGTAATCGATACGCTGTGAGGCCGGTGAAGACTCGCTAAATTGGAATATTCACAATGCAGGCTTCCTCCAACACTACACAAAGCACCATAGAAGGCATGTACCAGGAGCACATACAAGAGCTGCAAAAACCAACATTTCTCAAGTCTCAAGCTTCTATGAAACTGTGATTACACAAATCAAACATTGGAGCCACATTTAAGTGAGAGCTACATTTCATCTCTGAAACTAGGCAATGAGCAAAATCAAGAAGAAAAGTGAAATCTTAACAGTGTGAACATTTTTTGTTTCTAGAAAAATCCTCAACCTATTGTTGAACATTGTGATCCTATGATGTTCTCTCAAGTCTCAAGCATTATGAAACTCTGACAACACACATTAAATTCACTGGAAGAAGCACAGTTAGGTGAGAGGCACATTTCACCTCTATAAGCTAACAAACATCAAATCAGGAAGAAAGATGAAATCTTAAACAGTAAGAAGAGTGAATTCTAGGAAAATTATCCTCAACCTGTAACCAGATTTTCAGATCTTAAAGACACCGATATGACCAGATTTGAGAGACAGAGCATTGGAAGTGACTAAGTGATGTCCAAAGAAAAAGAAGAGGAAAAGACTTACAAGGAAAGATCTCTTCATATGAAAAGAAGATCTGTGATCTCCTCTAGGAAACCTAAACTAAAAATCTTGACAACAACAACAACAACAATCTGAGATTATCTCTAGCTGCTTCGAGTCCTTCTCTCTCTCTCTCTCTCTCTCTCTCTCTCTCTCTCTCTCACAGTCACTAAAAATCAAAACTTTGAAACAGAAAAATTCTCTCTCATGGATGGAGGGTTTGATTGTGGCAAGTTGCAAAGAGTAATTAGATGGGTCATTGGTGAGAAGAAACTGGGGAACCCCAATGGACATAAAAATCATTGAAAGAGACCGTTTCTGCCCCCGCCAAAATTCAACCAGTAGGTCCATCTTCTACCTTCTCCGTACCCTTGATTGCCATTACCATTTTTAATATCCTTCTCGTACGATAATGGCGAAACAAAGAAAGAGGAAAATCTAATTTAGAGACTTTATTAAAGCATAATTAAAGAAGAAGAAGAAGAAGAACAACAGTCGAATTCGATGATACCTAAGATGTCTGGAGATAGTTTATTTGATGTTCTGTTACAAAGAGACAAAGAGGGTCACTGAGAGAAACCCAGAGAAAGAGAAAAAGAGAGTGAGAGAAACCAGTCTGTATTATATGAACAACTCACTTATGATTCAGTTTTTTTTTCCTGGAAGGAATCAGCGTATTTCATGTGATCCGAATATTATAAAAGGAAAAAGAGAAAATTGACCTTCAAATTCTTCTTACATCGAAGATTTATTGATGCAAAAAGTTTTTTTTTTTAACAGCTCTGTAACTGTAATATGTAATTAAAACTCACACGAGACGAAACGCTGTCGTTTCAATTGGAAGAAGATAACGACGGATCACTTGACACGTGGCGTTGGTCTCGTAAGTCGTAACGAAGTGAGAGTTGATTGACTCTGCTAATTATACGTTTTCATAATTTCAGTTTAGTTAAAAAAAAGAAAGGGAAAAATCGCAGTGAATTAAAAAAACAACAAGTAAACTTACATACAATAAAAGAAAAGAGGATTTTTAGTAGTATTTTACCAAGGAATTTTAAGTATATATTCTCTACTAGTGTAATGGACACCACTGGAGAGCTAGAATTGGTGAATTAAATGGATTTTATGAAATTATATTCCGAAATTAGGGAGAAGAATTAATAAGAGAGACATAGTAATGTGACAGACTTCTTGTTGTCTATAATAAAACATACAACATCCATAATTACTATACTTAATTACCTCCTTTAATTATTCAGCAAACATACCATCATGGACCGGATTATCAGGTCAAAATACCCTATATAAACAATAATTTCAAATATACAGTATTGACTAAGATAATCAAAATTTCTGTAAAAACAGAGCTTTATGGTGAAATGCAGAGATAATAAAAGTTTATTGAATATCATCAGTATCAATCAATAGTCAATAAATCAAGTCTACGCCTCGAAACCAAAACTAAACCGAAAACGAAACCAAGTCTAAACCAAAGTAAAAAAGTCTAAACCAAAGTAAAAAAGAGAAACACAAGAAGAAGCAATTTTCATCAACTTAGTAACTCCTGCCCCCAATTAGTCCACTTCTTTGGAATTTTCCTTAATCTTAATGACATTTGGGAATCGGGGTTCTCTGCCGTTGAAAAATAGTAAACCAGGTCGATTTTCGGTTTACGTACATTGGTCTGAAATTTATACGGGAATGAAACCGGTTTCAAATAATATCTTCGATTTACTTCTCCCAAAAACTGTTAGTCAAGTGATGAAGGCTTATCTAATAAACCAATTTAGGAAATGAAGAAGACAACTCTTTATAATTCTTAGCGTAATCACAGTCAAAATATCAGATCAAAGCACAATGCACTTGAGAGTCTTTACAAGACAAAAGTAAATTTTCATGAATTGAATCAAAACATGATGAACACTTAGTAACTCCTGCCCCAATAGGTCCATTTCTTGGCAGGCTTTCCTGAAGCAAAGCAGAGAGTGCCTGCATCGAAAACAATGAAGCTTCTGTGTCAATGCATGGACTAAATTTATGAGCAAAATTTCTCAAAACAGATAATAAATTTAAAAGGTCTCTGACCTTCAGGGAGTTCTGGCTGATCCAGTGGAGAACAAAGGGTTTTAGCTGCTCCAGTTTCACCTTTAGTACGTGCCTGTACATCTCTCTCCACTTCCTACAAAGAATTTAATTTTAAGGAACTTAATATTGTTATCTTCTCGAGTTTTGATTCTATAAGTTGAAATAAGTGTTTTTTGCTGTGTAACTTACCACTTCATCACACCAGGGAGCTAAGATGAAATTCTTTTCGTTAAAAGATTTGATAAACTCATCCCAAGTCTTTACCTCTTGAACACACGCTTCCCTCTTTTGCTTCGCAACTTCATACATGTTTTGCTGGATCTTCTCAAGCAGTTCCTTAACATTTTCAACTAAGCTACCTCTTGGGATATCTTCCTTAACTCCGTTGTCACGTCTCACAGTTCTGACCTATAGGGATGCAAACCAAAGATAAATGAAATCCGTTTAGCTACATTACAAGTTCCATATTCAAACCAAACATCACTGTTTTCTCAGTAAAAACCAGGCCCTTCACTATTATATGTCCAAGGAATAGAGGAGATATTAAACGGACTGACCTGATCATTTTCCAGGTCTCTGGGACCAATTTCAATCCTCAACGGAACGCCCTTCATTTCCCAGTCTGAATACTTCCATCCAGGAGTGTATTCATCCCCTAAATCTTCTTCAGCACGGATACCGGCTTCACACAAGGCAGATACTGTAGCAGTACAAGCATCATAAATTCTTTGGATATTAGCATTTTTGCAGGGCACAGCGATTACAACAACTTGCAGAGGTGCGACTTTAGGGGGGAGTATCAAGCCCTTGTCATCTCCATGGATCATAATCATCACTCCAATCTATAAAAAGTTTGAAATTGAAACGTTAACAGAGCAAATGAGGAAAAGTAACGTAAATAGTTCCAAGTATTTACCGTCCTGGTACTATAGGTCCAAGAATTCTGCCACACCGTTGCTGTCTCTCCTTTCTCATCCACATAGTTGATCTCATACGTCTTTGCAAAGTTCTGACCCAAACAATTGGAGGTTGCCCCTTGTACACCACGACCAGTGTTTGGAATGAAAATCTACAAAGTCAAAGTTTAAATTTATAAAGAGTTAATCCAGAAGAAGAAAAATTATGTCTTAAAACAGAAAGGTCACATACCTCTACACTTGTAGTGTAAAGTCCCCCAGCAAATTTCTCATGTTCACTTTTCCAACCCTTCACAACTGGGACTGCAAGAAATTCTTCATATATGCGACGGAAAAGCTCCAAAATTTGGAGGAGCTACGAACAACATACGCTTAGTTTGCAACAAAGAAAAGGTAGAGGCCGGATCACATGCAAAAGTTTTAGGTTCACCTACCTCTTCATCTGCTTCTGCTTTCGTGGCGAATGCAGAGTGACCTTCCTGCCAAAGGAACTCACGGCTCCTGCAATTAAATAGGTTAGGAAGTTGTCTATGTAAGTAAATTTCTGTGTTGAAGGTCCAACCCAAGCCGAATATTTACAGTAAAAACAATGACTAGCTAAAGGAAAAAAGTACTAACATTGATGAACAGAAAAAGTAGAAAGGAGTATATGATAATACCGGATAAATGGGGTAGGGTTGTTGCACTCCCATCTATCAGCATTGCACCACTAGTAAAGTTTCAACGGCAAGTCACGGTACCCCTTTACCCACTTGCTAAAGTAAGTGTACAAAACAGTCTCACTAGTTGGACGAGTAGCAATTGGGACTTCCAAGTCAGATTTAATTGACTTTGTAACCCACCCAACCTAAACAAACATTCAGATCTGTTAAAAGAAGGTCTTTGTTTTCACAAAGAAAATCCTATAAGGTATAAGATATACAAACCTCTGGCGCGAATCCTTCAATATGTTCATTTTCCTTCTCTAAGACACCAGGAGGTACAAACAGAGGGAAATCCCAATTCTTTACGACCTTCATTTTCTTCATTTCCGCATCAAAGAAAATCTATGAAAAAATCAATAAAAACAAAATGATCGAACTTTTTTATTTCACACTCTTGATTCCACTTTTAATCCATGTGATCAACTTAAATTACAATAAAGAAATGATGAAACTTACTTGCATTATCTCCCAAATGGCCATGGTCAATGGTCTAGGAAAATAACATCCAGAGATATTGAAGTACTCAATCATGTCTCGTTTACAAACCTAGACCACCATATAAAGAAAGTAGATTGTTATACAAACATATAAATGTTAACACAATCATCTTTAAAAATAGAAACAAACCTCAAAATACCACTTGCTGAAATTCTCATTTTTCTTACAGCTTGGACGTCGGAGATTCATTTCCTTCTTGACGCCCTTATTTCCTTGTGGAAACATTAGCTTCTTAAACTCAATTAAGAGCTCCTCCTTTGGAAGATAGACCTCTAAGGCACTGAGAGTATCCTTAGTTACCATCCCACATTCAATAGCAATATCTAAAAATTTTTCTATCTCAAACTCTTCAAGCCGGATATACTGATGTATCCTTTGCATCGTTGTGAAAATCTTCCGTTTCTGTAATTGTGTTAACGCATGTAAGATGATGGATATGCTCTCATGCACTTGTGCTATCTCCATTCCCTCTTCAGCAGAAAGCTGTTTTAGCTTCTTCTTACACTTTTTTATTGCTATAAGTTCAGCAAGCTCTTGCTCTGTTAGCGGCTTACTGAGATCTCAAGGACACAATGTATAGTATTTATATAAGGAAACAATTCTAACAATTCCATTGATGAACTTTCCCAGATCTGTGCCAAGAGGACATTGTGTCCTTGACATCTCAGTAGCTTTAAAACAGAGCCATACCCGTGATCACCGCCTATTAGTAATAGATTTGCAATTTCATGTCTCTCTTCAGCCCAAGAGAGGATCTTTGACTTAATCAGAAGATCACTTGCATTTCTTCTTCCTACAAAGCGATTAACAGAATCAAATTGACCGTGGTAATGGGAAAATTCTACAAACATTAAAGAACTTTTTTACTAAGTATAAGAAGTATCAACCTGAGAGGATTCTGGTGAAGTTGATACCGGAGGAAGAAGAGTCAAAGTGACTAGCGGCGCCGCGAGGTAATTCCTTTGGATTTCCCACCGCCTCAATGTGAACGGGACCAAGAAGATTAACATTGCGAAGCGCAGCCGTAATGTTGTCTTGAATCTTTTCATGTTGAACGTATATTGGGATACCACAGTTTTCGGTATCCCAATACACGAGATTCTTGGCAAGTTCACTCGAGCATCGGCGTAGGTTATATCCAGCAGAAGATGCTAAAACAATGAACATAAATGGGCTTTAACTTAACCAAACTTTTGATAAACAAAATACTTTAAAAGATATGAAAAATCTGATGTATACCTAGGCCCATTAGAGACCTTTGGGTAAATAGCCCACTAAACCTTCCTAATTTCAACATCTCCCCTCTCCAAATTTCAATTCCGATTCCGATGTCTCTGTTTCTTCCTCTGTTTCTTCCGACGAAGCACCAGAGGAGAAAAATCATGTAAAGTAATCAACAACTCATGAACTCTTAAGAACGAGAGAGCATAAATTTGAGTTTGCGACTGACCTTTAACGTATGAACGAAAGCGAAGCGGAGGAAAAATTAATTGACGGAAACGGCGGCTATGTTCAGATCCGGTGGTTCTCTTCGTCTCCTCTCTCCAAAGTTCAATTCCGATTCCGATTTATCTGTTTCTTCAGGCGATTCACAAGAAGATAAAAATCATGTCAAGTAATAAACAACTCATCACTCTTAAAACAGAGAGAGCAGAAATTTGAGTTTACGAATGACCTTCAACGTATGAACGAACGAAAGAGAATCGGAGGAAAAGTTAATTGACGGAAACGGCGGCGATTTTCAGATCCGGTGGTTCTCTTCGTCTCATCTCTCCAAATTTGAATTCCGATTCCGATGTCTCTGTTTCTTCGGCGATGCACAAGAGGAGAGAAATAAGGTCAAGTGATCAACTCGTCAACTCTTACGATCGAGAAAGCAGAAATTTGAGTTTACTCTGATATTTTCTACAAAGTTAATCGGAATAAGTATGGCTTACCTTCAAGGTATGAACGAAAGAGAACCAGAGGAAAAATTCATGCAGGGAATAGGCGGCGATCAGATCCGGTGGTTTTCTTCTTCTTCACTCTCCAGAGTATTTTTGACTGATGCAGAGATAAAATAGATTCGATACCCAAATATGACAAAAATCTGCTTTAAAGAATATCAATGGATGCGCGTACAAAGTCTTAACGGAACATAGTACGAGCAATCGTCCCACCCTCCTAACTGCATTCTTCTAACGTCCTTGGGACCCACCACACGTGTGACTTATATTTTCTATTTTTAAGTTTAGACTTTTTAATTGAAATGTTAGGGATGTATTAGTGTAACCCGTAAGTTTTATACGTTTTTTGCATGCTAAATTTGATTTATAAAATTTGGTTTGCAAAGTGAATTGATCGTAACTTGTATGTACAAATTTTTAATTTTTTGTGATGTATGTTTCTTAAATTATAAATATGTAATCGTATACTAGTAAACAAGTTTAAAGTGATCTAATTTATCAGATTAGGATTACCAATATATTAATAATTTTAATTATTTATATATATAAATGTTTACTTTGTTAAGAAAATATTAAATTGATGAATGCTCAGAAATTTTTCAAAAACATTTAAAGGTGAGGAATTACAAAAAAAATAAATCAATTAGTTTACGAGTAATCTAGCTAAAATTCTGTTAAAAAAAATTAAGAAATGGTAAAAGAAAGGATAAAGTGACTTCTTGAAAAAAATTAAATAAAAAAAGGAATATTAGATTTAAGGAAACATGTGGTCCACACTTAATGATTCTTTTTTATTCAGGTGTTTATGTTGGGCCTTTTTAAGACTCTTTCTTGTAAATAAAATGAAAAATAAATCGATGACAACAAATAGAAAGTGTGCTCCATTGAGATCTGGGACATGAAATTTTAACAAAGAAGGAGAGTTTATGTTGCTCAGGGGCGGATCTACAGTGTCAAAGGGTGGGGCACGTGCCCCATACTCTTATTAATATTTGTCTAATTACGGATGATCAATCAATACTATATTTCTTAGTTCCCTTGGCAAATGTGTACCCCATACAAAATCCTGGGTGGGTAGTTCGACTCCCTTGTACAGCACGTCCACCCCCCCCCCCCCCCCTTTTTTTTTAATTGTCTTCCTACAATTTTATTCTTCTTTATGATTGTTTGCAACTTTGCATTTTCCCTATTCCTTTTTTTTGGTGTGATTATTCCCTTTTATTATTATCTTATATTAAACTTTGCTTTTTTGGTTCTATTGTTATTTTAGTTCCAGTTTAAATTTTAACAAATTTTAAGACATGTTTCTCTACTATAAAAAATTAACACCTATAGTTTAATTATTTTTTTTAGTAAAATTAGTAAAAAATACTATCTCTCTTTTTAATATCCAATATGTAATTTAGTATATTTAGAAACCTATAGATATAGTATTTTCAAATATTTTGATTTCTTTTAAGATTTTAAATTTAAGATTATTAAAGGTAAAAATATATGGTTTTATTGTTTTTATTTTTAGTCATGTATGGTTTTATTTTATTATGTAAATTTAATATTGTTAGTTTTTTTTTTTTACAGCCTTTAATATTGGTAGTTATACACATAAGTTGTGCCCTATATAAGTTATTATCCTGGATCCGCCACTGATTGTTGCTCCAAATCGACGCTTTGGAGCAATTTCATCTGTTTGAAGAGAATCTAGAACATGAACTTCACTTCGCTCGTATCAGTTGATTTGGGATTTCGATTCTAAAGGTAAGCTACATATGATTTTATACTTTTTCATATCGCATTTCATGAGCTTGTTCTTAAAATTAATTTGTGATGGAATCGTTTTCCAAATCCGTGGTCGATAACAATGGAGTAGAATAATATCTGTTCTCATTAGTTTAAGCTCCAGCTTGTTCTTCTTTTTTCTTTTACAGATTATTCAAATCCAAGCTGGAAATTAATCTTAAGTTTATGAAGTGATTGAAATTTGATGGACGTACATGATTTTTCTTTTTTCTTTTACAGATTATTCAGATCCAAGCTTCAAGATTTGTTCTCTCTGATGAACGTACAGGATAATGCGGGTCAAAAATGAACAGTATCAGGTTTAATATGACCCGCGAGTTTCATTAATGGGTAAATTTTTAATCTCCATCTTAAAAATAAATGGTACATGAATGTGTTTCCCAAATAAATGAATCTGTCCGAATTAATAATATAAAAAGAAAATACAGAATTTTATGTTCAGTAATATTGATTATTTCATGACGGAATAATAAATATAAATTATTACTGTACAAATCATACTCTTTTCTTTTTCAAATTCATTTTTATTTTCGTCTTCATGCAAGTAATAAACACTAATAAGACTATCGTAATCGATCCTTAATCCAAAATTTTCGCGCTCGATTCGTCTTTTCGGTATCTCCCGGAGCTCCGGGACTTGAGCGGAGGAGATGAGGAGCGTGTTGGTGTGGATTGCGGTGGTCGTGTGCTTGCTATGTTCAGTCGCGGCGGTGGTTCAAAGCGGATCTAGCGATGGATTTGGGAACTCGAGCGAGAGATACTGAGACTGCGATATCTTTTCTGGAGTATAAATTGATGGCGCCTTCGGTTCCAATGGTGCCTCTCACTTTGATTGAGGGAGCTGACTCTAAAGGAGCTGGTACACTTTCTCTCTCTCTCCTTCTCTTTCGTTCTGCTTCTTTGGGATCTGAGAAAACGCTTGAAAGGAGATGTTTCCACTGTCACATTGACCTTTGTTGTCCACTATTCGGTCTCGATTTTTGATTCTCTTAGTTGGAATTTGAAATTAACGGCGTTTGATTTTGTTCTGTTGCTCGATTTCGTAAACTTCTTTGAATTTTGGCTGGTGAAAATAGATTTGGTAATACTCAGTCTCTTTGCTGGATTTGTGTTTAAATGGTTTCATGATGATTAGTGTTTTTATTCAACTCTAAATTGGTGCAGTGTGCTTAGATGGGACGCTACCTGGTTATCATTTAGATCGTGGTTTTGGATCAGGTGCTAACAGTTGGCCTATCCACCTTGAGGTATATGCCTTTTACAGCTTGTGTAGTCTTAGACTTTTGCTAGTTAAGTATGTAATGGAAGTTTCTGCTACTGAGGAATGACTTGGAAGTTGGATCTTAGATATCAGTTTTTAACTCAATGGGTGGTTTAGGGTGGAGGATGGTGTAACAACCATAGGAGCTGTGTATATCGCAAAACAAGTCCGCGTGGTTCTTCTAAGTTCATGGAAAAAGCTTTGCCCTTCACTGGAATATTGAGCAATAAACCTGAAGAGAATCCTGGTTTGTCACCATGAGTTTTGTTCATGTGGTTATGCAGCAACTGTAGAAATTGCGTCTTCTTGTTTCGATTCTTTTTTTCTCCTTGTGGCTTGCAGACTTCTTTCATTGGAACAGGATCAAGTTGCGCTACTGTGATGGTGCGTCTTTCTCTGGTGATAGTCAGGACGAGGTTGGTCAAAACTCGAGAGTATATTGTTCTATGAAACCTAGGATTTAATGAGTTCATCTTAGTGTTGTTGTACCCTGAATATGTCTTCTATCTGTATCTAGAGTTCGCAAATTTTCTATCGAGGACAACGAATCTGGCAAATGGCTATGGAAGAATTCCTGTCTTTAGGCATGAAGCAAGCAAACCAGGTCTTTGCATTTCATTGAGTCTATCATGTTATTGGATATTGTGCTCTGGTACTTGTTCTGTTTATCGTATTAGCTAATCATATGCAAGTGAATAATCTTCACAGGCTCTGCTTTCTGGATGTTCAGCTGGAGGATTAGCTTCCATCTTGCACTGTGATGAGTACATGGAACTATTACCTAGTTCCAGGAAAGTAAAATGCTTAAGTGACGCTGGAATGTTTCTTGACGCGTATATCTCTTGAACTTGGCTTTTCTGTTAGGAATAGTATTTTTCTTCTTCTTTAGAAGCATCCAAACATGAAATGTTCTCATGGAATTTTGCAGAGTGGATGTCTCTGGGGGCCACTCGCTTAGGAATATGTTCCAAGGTGTTGTTACAGTGCAGGTAATCTCATATTCAAAATTTGATGAAATGGGAATGACTAAAGTGTATACAACTTTACTTGATCTTTAGCTTACTCTAACTCTTAAATACATTTCCTTGTTTATTTACAGAACCTCCAAAAGGACTTGTCCAGTACTTGTACAAACCATTTGGATCCTACTTCGGTATATCTCTTTCACTTTATTAGTATCATTGTTTCATTAGCAAATTTTCCAGTAGACAATGCTTGAGAGAATCTTTGACATTATCATTTGTGCCCTTTCTCTTTCCCTCAGTGCTTCTTTCCTCAGAACTTGGTTTCAGACATCAAAACCCCAATGTTTCTTCTCAACACAGCATATGACTCGTGGCAGGTAAAAATCATGTCTTTCATATAGATCATTGCTTCATGCCTTCATCCTTCCACGGTGTATGATTTTTTTCTGTAGATCCAAGAGAGCTTAGCTCCTCCAACTGCTGATCCAGATCCAATTCTTCCAACGTGAACTTTAAATTCAAGCTTGTTAACTTTAAATTTATGTTGAGTATGCACAATGGTGATGGTTCCCATGTCATTTTTGTTTGCTTACACCAAATAGAATTCAGGACCCAAATGGTGCTTGCTGTAAACGCATTCTCAAACTCTGACCAGACCGGCGGTCTTTATATAAACTCTTGCTTCGCGCATAGTCAGACTGAAAGACATGACACTTGGTTTGCTCAAGATTCTCCTTGACTAAACGGAAAGATAACATTACTCTTCCAAAACTGTTCATACGGTTTCACCAATGGAAGAAATACGGATACAAGGGTTCCTCTTTCCATCGTATTATTAAGGATTTCATGATCCAATGAGGGAAATGTAAGTTTTTTTTTTTCCAGAAGTTACATATAAGACTGTTTGTTATTTGATATTTCTTTCTAAATCGTCTTTTCCAATATGGTCTCACAGGGTACTGGAGGTATTAGTATATACGGCGCCAAATT